TTCTCCCCCAGCCAGCGTCGCGCAGACGCCACAGCCTCGAGCACATCCTGGCCACCAGGACTCGGGGACGTCCTGGAGATTGGTGCATTTTACATCACAACCCTCGTGGACAGAATTGAGATGTTTTTAATTAAGAGAACGTTTCATCCTGCTTTTTAATTATTTGAATTAAGTGATGGTTAAGAGAACAAAAGATGCTCGGCATCACTGAAAGTCCAGAGACCCATCCGGCGTACTCAGACCGGCTCCTCAGGAGCCAGCACTGACTGCTGGGCTGCTTCTCGGGGCTGCAGCCCCGGAGCCGCTTTTATTCTCCAGCAAGTTCACCAGCTGTGCGAGTGGGCCTTTGGGTGTTGCTAGCGTGTTTTCAGAACCTGCAGTCAAACCACATAGGTACGTACGTAAGATGACAAGGCTGATGGTCTGGAAGCAGCCCTCCCGAGTCGAGGCAGGGGGTTACTGTGTGAACAGAAAGGTGAGTCATCAGTGTCTTCAAGGCTCATTTCATTACACCCTCTGGTGTCTGCTCCCAACGCTGCCTGCAACAGAGCACCATTCACAGAGCTGTGCTTTGCTGCTTTCCCCCAGCGAGCACAGAAGGCCAATGATGAAGGCAGGCGGAGCCGGAATAACCCACAGACCAGCTGTGCAGGAGAGCAGAGGGACCTCACACAGGAAGAGGGTGTTACCACGGTGACCGTTTCACCACAGGACTTAGGAGGGATGATAGCATCAGAATCCATAATACACAGACCGCAGCCAAGGAACAAGTCAGGTAGGAAGAGGCACTTTTATCCTGAAGAAGGAAGTGAACAACTGTGACAGCAAGAACACAGCAAGTCTAGGGAAACAGTAAGTTGTCCCTCGCTTCGGTGCTGACCAAGAACCCAACCGCTTAGTACGGTTCTCCCACCAGAAATCAGAAATCGTCGCGCAGACGTAACAGGGAGGGGCCCACCTTCCGGCTCTCCCTGGGGAAGGAGGCCAACACTTGCTCTAAATAGCTCGCGGGAGGGTGTGGTGTGGCCATGAGGGGCGGCGGGATTGGCGGCCCTGCGGACACCTGGGGAACAGCCCCCTGGGCTACAGTAGCGCTTGCGGTGTAGACGGGACGGTGGAATAATTGTCTTGTGCGAAGAAAGGGGAGATGTGGATCAACACTTCAGTAACTGACTTCCCGATTAGGTCGCGCTCCCAGCGTCAGCTCCCAAGACATGCCTGTGTCCGAGTGGGCGCCCCCTGCGCCCCGGGGGGCACAGACGGGCACCTGTCCCCCACACCACCCAAGGAAGCCAAGGAGACCCTAGTCCAGTGGGGCGGGTCTGGAACTGCCAGGCGCCAGGTCCATGTTGGGAGAGGCTGAGCAGCAGGACGGACTGATGAAACCTTGGCTCCCGCGTGCGGTCCCACGGAGCTGGCTCAGCACCTGCCCAACCGCAGCCTCCCCGGGGCATGGGCCGCCCCACGCGGGACAGGGTACCTGCCGGTACCTCTGCAGGTTACAAGGATGGGAGATGCCGGGGAAGCCCTAGACCTGAGTCAGAAGCTGTCACTGTCGCCTGCCGCACAGATGCCAGACGCCTTCGGGACAGTAGTGACCCCAAGGGGGTGCGAAGGGGAAGCGTGATGAGGGAGGCCCTCCGACAGTCCCTGGTGTGTTGTGAACGCTCAGCCCCTCTGCTGAGACGATAATGACCACCCTTGTTTAGGGAAAGGAAAAGAGACGCTCCCTGAACTCAAGCCCAGCTCACAGCCGACCCTTGCGGGGAGTGGAGAACAGGGGGGCTCCATCAAGGACAGATCCTGGTCCTCTGGGGAAGAGGACACATTCTCCTGGCGTCAGCTGTGTTGCTGAGACTTGACACGAGATACCGCCTGCGTGGAGCTGGTCCAGAGGCTAGAAGCTGTTTCTACAAAGTGACCAGACAGCCCCTCTTGATGAAATGACCACATCAAATTCTTGGTAAGGAAAGTTTGTGTAAACAGACATAAGAAATTAAGAGAAGAGGGGAAAAAATCTTACCTACCTTTCATTTCTATAAAACATCTCTTAAAATAATTTAAAAATTCTACGGGTATGACATTTGTCCCCATGCCAAGCCTTCAGGGAAAAGGCAAGGAACAGGCACAGCTTTTATATTAGCAGGAATCAGCAAGAGACTGAGGAAATGAATTTCTATGGGAAATGAACAGGGGCTGCGGTTCAAAAACCACGTCTCTGGTTCCTGTTCCCCAGGGACACACCCAGGGAGAGAGAGAACAGGCGAGCGGAGGATCAGCCTTTTGGAACCAGATGGTCAGCAGATGGCTTTTCATCTAGAAAGCTTTCTGGGGGCAGTGCTGATGGCCGTAAGGCACACTGGGACTGACTGGTTTCTGAGGCCCCGGAGTTGTCACCACTTTACTACAGAGAACATAAACTAGCATTCTTTAATCCTGGTATTTTTCTCAAGAAACCTTCAGTGTCTTTTGCCAAGTGATCAGAAATCATTACATTCAATACAGCAGTTAAGAGTTCTGCAGGACCTACCAACACAGCAGTTCAAACGAGGGTGACAAAAGGGCGAGTCTGAGTTCCACACCTGCATCCCACCATCATCCTCCCTCTACCTTAGACTCAGATGTTCCAGTCCCACCATAAAGGGGGTGGGCAGCTGAGCAGCAGTTTTTAACGTCACAGCAAAACACGGGAGCCGCTACCACCACTGTCCTTACTAGGCGCTCCCTCCTCCTGTCCACGACCAGAGGGGATGCTGAGGTCCTATCACTCGGGAACCCCGTGCTTGAAGGCCACGCTGTCTGGGTCACTGCTGAGTAAAGTGTGGCCCCGCCTTACCCCTCCGCCGTGGAGAACGCAGACCTCAGCCTCCGCAGCGCAGACCTCCCGCCAGCCGCCCTCCCGCCAGCCGCCCAGAAACGAACCTGTTAGTGCTTCAGTGCGTTCAGCCCATGGGCTTGAGGATCCAGAGTTTACATGTAAACACTGGAAAGAGAATATTCTGTCATAAAAGGGAAGAGAATGAAGACGACTCAGCAGTTCGCTCTTCCCCTAAGAAGCACCAGTGCTGCCTTCGGAACACACGGAGGAAACGCTCACCCCTCACCTCTGGCTCCTCAGTGAAGGACACCAAGACCCTGAGCAACATCCCTCCCCAACAAGACACAAAAACTCAGAACCCAAGATACACTGCCTGGTACAGCTGCACAGACACACACACCCACACACTCCAGACCTTTCTGACCAACTTCTAAACAGTATATCGCTTTAGGAAGAATATTTAATTTAAAAAAATAAAGCACATTTAAAACATCAAGTTTTGATGATCAGGATAGGTAAAGTAATTTTATTACAAATTTCAGGATTTAAAAAGTAACCTGTTACATTTACTAGGATAAATCTGAGATGACCTGTCTCAAGCACGTGTGTCCCCATCAGTGACACTGACCTCAGGCATGATGAGACGCGGTCCCCCACCGTGAGGGATGCGGTCAGCGGATGAGGCTACGCTGAGTCTCCACGGGCACGTGCTGACCGTGATCATTACGGCTTGTCACTCTGGCATTTGGGCTGTGACGAGCTCAGTGTAAGCCTCCGTTATGGAACTCTGAAAGCCAAGCTAGAACCTCAAGGGCAGCCTCTCTTTCCTGCTTTCTACTTCAATGATACTTAGGAGACTGTGTACTGAATGAGAGTTATGATTCCCTGGTCTGTAAGCCCACGTGTGGAAACCCTTATCACCTGGCAAGAGACCGCCGAGGAGCGGCCTGAGTGGGAAGGAGGCTGAGGCCAGAACCTGGGAATCACGCTAGTCCAGGCCACGGACAGCGATGCCCAGCAAGAGAGATGCTGCCAGCCGGCGAGTCCCCATCGGCTCAAGGGTGGCCACAGACAAAAGGGCTGGAAGCAACCTCGACAGGCCAGCTAAGCCACCCTCCAGCTTCCGACGCGGAGACAAACTTGCCCCGCAGTCACGGGCAGGGGCCCCGGGTCTCTTCGGTCTTGTACGTTTAAAGACTAAAGGCAGCATCTTTACAAGGGGAACTGCGGGAAGCATCGGGCGAGCCCTCTGCACGGGGCCTCGGGGCACCCTGGGGCGAGGCGGGCAGGGCAGTACCTGAGAGGCGGCTGAGACCCAGCAGAGCACCTGGGGTGCGGGACTGAGGGCGGGAAGAACAGAGGAGCTGAGAGACTCCAGGCAGGAGTGTGCCAGCAGCTGAAGGGCCTACAGCCACGACCTCCTGCCTGGGGTCTGCCCCCCAGGCGCCCCCACGGGGACCCTCTCGCTCTGAGACTGTGGCTCTCATGGGATGACGTTATCCCCGGGGGACGTTTGGCAACACGGGGAGACACGTGGGGTGGGGCTGTCACCACTGGGGAAGGCGCTACAGGGCTGGTGGGCGGAGGAGGCTGCGCACCCTACAGGGCACAGGCCCCAGGCCCGGGAGCTACCCAGGGGCCGTGGACGCCAGGCGGGGGGCACTTTACACACAAGACCCTGAACCTAGCAGGAGCCCAGGCCCGGGACCTCCAATCAGACCACTGTGCGCAGCCTCCAGCTCAAGCCCTAACAAGTGGGTCGGCCCCCTGCCCTGCGGACCCAAGTCCTCCTGACCCCGCAGTGTCCAAGGGATGTCCAGCTAGCTTCCGGCCGCTCCAGTCCAGTCGACACAACTAAAACCTTGCGCCTTTTTGTCTCCTCTCTCCGAAAAATCTACTTCCTTCTCAGAGCCAGGGCCACCCCAACTGCCACCGCCAGGATGGCAACAGCGGCGGCTGCCCCCCCGAAGAGCAGGAGGGACTTGCCCGCGGGCGGCGGGCCAGCTTTCCCGGGGCCGCCCGGGGGGGGCCCTGCCCCCAGCCCCCCCCGCCCGCGGGCCGCCTGCTCTCCGCCCGGCGGGGCTGCTGGGGGCTCTACTGGGTGCTCTAGCGGCGGGACGCCCTCCTGCTCCAGTTCGGCAGCTTCGGACGCGGCCGCTCCCGCCTCTTCTCCCGCAAGTGCCGCGAACAGAGGTGTCGCGGGACTGGCTGGCTGGCCGGCCGACCCCTCGGGGCCGGGCTCCCCGGGCGCCGTCAGGGCCGCGGCCGCCGCACCCTCGGGAACCTCCTCCTTCTCCACGTGCACGATGTCAGAGTTGGAGGAGTTGTTCTCGCTCTTCTCTCCAGCCCCGTTGCTGTCCAGGCTCTTGACTTCTTCGGGGTCCACTGTGACCTGCTGCCACGACTCGGGACCTAGGGACACCGGCGGGCTCTCGGTGCGCCAGCTCTGGCTGCTGGACAGCGACACGGGGAAGCCCTCGGCCTGCCAGGACGCTGTCGCGGTCGTCGGAGACTCCGGGGGGCTGGCGAGCGTGGAGCCGCCACTGGGCAGGATGTAGATGTCGTTGCTGTCCTCCGCGGCGCCCGCGGGGCGCTCCTCGTCCTCTGGCTCCAGGGCAAAGACAGCGCCCTAGGAGATGAGGTGGGCGGTCAGTGCAAAGAAGGGGAAACAGACCTAAAATAAATGTAAATCTGGAGGCAGCCCCTTTCCTAAACTGAACTTCCAGGGATAAATGCACTGTTTAAACCTACAGTTTTTGGACTGAACATGTTTGCTTGTAGACCAACACAGAGGAAGCATTTTTAACATGACGATTCTCTGACCAGTTTCTTCAAAGCTGAAAAAGCAAAAAGCTGATTATATTCTATTCAATTTATACACATTTAATGCAATAAATAATGCAACACAGTGGAGAAAAAGGCACGCAGCTTGTGCCCTGGGGATCTATCGCTCGGCCGGGCCGGTGCCGTCAGGAGCCCAGACAGGGAAGGACGCGCTTTGCTGGCAGCTGGGGAGGTGCGGGAGCCTGGCGGAGGGACGTGTGAGGAGAGGGGAAGAGCCACCGCCCAGCAGAGGCCCAGAAACATCAGCCGGGGGCAGGAAGCAGCCTGCCGTGACCAGGGAGGTGCCAGCAGCAGACGCCACGGCCCTGACTCAACGGCAAGGGAACGGTCATCGGCCACTCGGTCATGGATGAAGCCGCCCTGACGATAGGGAGGGTGCAGGGGACGCAGGCCTCCCGCCCTCCTGGCGGCGGGAGCCACACAGCAGCAACACGGCCACGGGGGCTCCAGGCTCCCTGCGGGGGCTGTGTCAGCTCCGGTCACAAGGAAGAACACGACTCAATTTTGGTTCTTGGCAAATTCACCATCTAGACGTGAAGACCGACACAGGAGGCACACATTTCACCGCGACACCGGCAGCCCTAAGGCAGGAGACACACGGGGACCAGGAGGTTCGCGGCGGAGACAGACGGGAAGTCACCCAGAGTCTGGACGACACCCGCAGATGCTACGGAGTCTGCAGAGCATATGCAAGCAAACTAATTCCCACTTTACTTTGTGATTACGGCCGCCGTTTATATGAAGCAGAATAGTTCTGTTCTGTAATCAAGACCAGAAACTTTCCGGTCACACTTGAGTTGTCTGGAGATAAGCAATATGGTCCCTTGTGTCCCCTATCCTTAGACCCACATCTGCAGCCGAGGGCCTGAGGGTCAGAGAGATCCACGTGCTCACCAGTGGGAACTCCCACCAAGGGCTAAAAACAGAACCTCCAACAGCAAGAACTGATTTAAAAAGCAAAAGCAAAACAAAGGAACCATAATAAAACAGGTAAAAATTTTAATCCTCAGAAAGGAGACCTTTGCTACTTTTTATTTAGGGCTCGAAGCCAAAGCAAGTGAAATGGAAATTTCACAAGTTGCATTGTGAAGAAATGAGGGAAAAGTTAACAAACTAAAACAGAATTTAGCGTAAAACTACTGCTCTCTTTATCTTTAGCAGCTCAAAGCTGAGAGTCAGGAACATTCTTCATCCAGCCAAGATGCTGGATCAACACGGCTGTCAAGCGACAACTCTGGGGGACGATACGGCCCAAAAGCCAGTCAGACTTAGTTGCCTCTTTCCTTGCTGTCATGGACTCTCTACCTTACAACTTATTTCTGTATTTGGGACGTGATTATTTTAATGACGATTCACCAAAAATTTTGTGCTTTTATGTAAGAAGTTTTAAAGAAAGAATAGATGACCATTGAGACTTTCACTCCTGGTCATCTGAAGCAAAAATATAAAAATAGAGGCCTCTCCCTTGACAATTACTGTCATTAATGAAGACTAGGCTTTCAATAAAAGATAAAGCACTGTTTTGGGCAATACTTTACCTAAAACTTAGCACATTAGGGGACTAACATCTACAACTAGCCTTAGATCCATTCCAACAATTTAAATAATTTTTAGCACAAAATATGTATATTGCTGGCAACAGCTATCTCTTTAGTCCCACTGATACAAAAAACAGAAAGGAGTAACTTCAAGGGCTCAAAAATATAAAACGGATTGGGACCAACTAGAGTTTAAATATGTACGAAGGGGGAACTCCCTGGCGGTCCGGTGGTTGGGACTCCACACTCTCACTGCCAATCCTTGGCTGGGGAACTAGATCCTGCAAGCCGCACGGCATGGCCAATAAGTAAATAAATATGTACAAAGAATCAGAAAACTATGTTTTGTTTAAACACATGAAGCCCAGCGAGATCAGGTAACTTGCCCAAGGTCCCTCAGCTGCTGTGAGAACTGGACGCCAGTGTCCTTTTGAAGATTTTACTGAAATTAATTCATTTCACTTTCACAGATAAGGAAACTAAAGCAACTGAGATGGGTAAGTAACTGGCCTGAAGTCCAAAGCTGGGACTGGATCTAACCAGGCCGCTTACCTGCAGGGCCCACGCTTTTGTCAACTGTGCTCCCCTAACGCTTCAGCCCAAGGCTCCCCCCAACCCCAGACTTCCACACTGGTGCTTTTTCCTCAGTTTACAGCAAGAAGCAAATGGAAAAGGTTATTCTTGGTGTTTTCGTCAAGCAAATACACAAAGATGTGTTCATGAAACCCTGCAAAGAAAAAGGCAAGTAGAGAAGAAACTGAAACACGAGGTTCAGGGACTCTTGCAGAATAAACGTAAGAGAAAATGTAAGTGTAACCTTGGTTTTAGTGGTAGGAACGAAGTAAAAACAGCTTGGAGATCAAAGAACCATTTCAAAGCGTGCAGCAGTGCGTCACCACGTCCGTATTAACCACACTTGCTTCGAGTTTTGTTTTGGTTCACACCAGTTACAAATTATTCTGCCACTTCAAGCAGTGTCTCCTGACTGCGCCCCAGCGACCCTGGCCTCCTCCTGTCCTCCGACCCCCGTAACACAGCCACCTCACAGCACAGAACATGCCACCCCGCCCTGCCCTGAGCCCAAGGAGGGCCTATTTTACTCAACTTCTGGGTAGCAGCACCTAGCAGAGGGGGCACAACATCTACAATCAGTTAAGGGTTATTGGGTAGAAAACCGACACTGTAACTGAGGAGCGCTGGGGGCTCAGTGTGCACAAAACTGAGAAGCAAAACCTTCCGAGGGACTTGCAGGTTCCCTGTGGAAGGACTTGGATGTCTCCACTCCACCCTGAAGTGGGTTAAAAAGCTGAATGACCAGAAATCTCAAAGACTGTAAGAGAAGAGAGGTGATGCCACAGGGCAAACCGCTGTCCCGAGGCTAGAGACGGATGGGCGGGGCTGGGGGTCACCGGGGGACCGGTCCCAGGGAGGCCCTGCAATTCTGAGATTCACCTCTAGCCCCCTGCTCCCCGCTCCTGGGCGAGGGGAAAAATGAGCCCTGATCTTCCTGACAAGCTGTGCCCTCGGGGGGAACCAGTTAACCACAGCCTAACTGCCCAAGAGGAAGGGAAATACTCGCCGGCAGCCCACTCCAACCTTCCAGTCCTGCCCCGTGTAAAGGAGGAGAGAGACACAGAAACTCTGGCCAAATTCACGGGGGGCACAGGCTCACCCACAGAACCTAGTCACAGGACTCCAACGCGCCCGCCACACACCTCGCCACCACGTCACTGAGGCCTGTTTACCTTTACCCAGGACATCATGTCTGGCTCTCCAGAAAAAAATGACAAGGCAAACCAAAGGGAGAAGAAAACCACGCCCACACTTGAAAGAGGGAGCGAGTATCAGAACCAGACGTGGTTGGGACGCTGGAACTATCGATCGGGAATTTAACACAACTATGATTACTTTGCTAAGGGCTCTAATGGATAAAGTAGACAGCACACAAGAACAGATGGGCAATGTCAGCAGAGATGGAAATCCTAAGAACCAAAAAGAAAACAATGCTAGAGATTTAAGAACAACAACACTGAAACAGAAATGAAGATGCCCCCCGCCTTTTTAGGCCATGCCGAGCAGCTTGCAGGACCTTAATTCCCCAACCAGGGATTGAACCCAGGCCCTGGCAGTGAAAGCGCCGGTCCTAACCACTGGACCACCAGGTCCAGTTCCCACCAATTCCCATGAAGAATGCCTTTGATGGGCTTATTATCAGATTCCACACTGCAGAGGAAAGGACCTCTTAGCTTGAAGATGTCTCAATAGAAACATCCCAAACTGAAAGGCAAAGACAACAAAGACGTGGGAAAGAAAACAACAGGGCATCCGAGGGCTGTGGGACAACTACGCAAGGTGTAACACACACACCTGGAACACGGAAGGAGAAGAGAGAAAGGAACAGGAGAAAAATATCTGTAACGATAATGACTAAGAATGTCCCTAAATTAACGTCAGACAGCAAACCACAGATTCTGGAAGCTCAGAGAACACCAAGTACAGTAAGTGTCCGAAGAACTACACCTAAGCATGTCATTCTCAAATTACAGAAAATCAGAGATGAAGAAAAAAATTCTGTGACAAGTCAGAGGAAAAAATATCTTCCCTGGAGAGGAACAAAGATAAGAATTACATCTAGCTTCTCATCAGAAACCAAGCAAGCAAGAAGAGAGTGGAGGGGAATATTTAAAGCGTTGAGAGAAAAAACCTACTGACGTAGAATTCTGTCCCTGAGAAGTTATCCTTCAAAAATGAAGGAGTGTGGGAGAACAGGGAGCCTCCTGCACTGGTGGGAATGCAAACTGATGCAGCCGCTATGGAGAACAGCATGGAGGTTCCTTAAAAAACTAAAAACAGAACTACCATACGACCCAGCAATCCCACCACTGGGCACATACCCAGAGAAAACCATAATTCAAAAAGAGTCATGTTCCACAGTGTTCACTGCAGCTCTATTTACAATAGCCAGGGCATGGAAACAACCTGTGTCCATCAACAGGTGAATGGATAAAGAAGATGTGGCTCATATATACAATGGAATATTAGCCATAAAAAGAAACGAAACTGAGTTACTTGTAGTGAGGTGGATGGACCTAGAGTCTGTCATACAGAATGAAGTACGTCAGAAAGAGAAAATCAAATACCGCATGCTAACACATATATATGGAATCTAAACAAATGGTACTGATGAACCTAGGGGCAGGGCAGGAATAAAGACGCAGACATAGAGAACGGACTTGACGGGGAAGGG